AGTTTCTGAACGCAGCCCAGACTAATTTAATGTCATGGGGTATATTTTGTATATATACGACTGTATAAGGTTATGTCTTATATCTCGTGCGAATTTTTAAATTGTGCCGGGGACACTTCTTTATTAGCCCTAATATGTAACAAGATTTAAAGATTACTTATTGAATTAGCCTCAAAGATTACTTATCACGTAGCCTCGAACGACAATAAAAATGAAACTGGTCAAGCCAAATTGGGTTACTCACGATGGTTTGTGATATTTTCTGCTATTGTATGACATCTCGAAAAGTTATAATTTTAATGAATAATTTAATGTTTATTTTTTGTCAGGATACCCAATATTTTCTATCGATATACATCCCAATGGAAAAAGGTTTGCTACTGGTGGTCAAGGTATACTTATTTGTACATCTTACGTTTCAATGAAGATATATATTAAATTGGAGTAACACATATTAGAAATACTAATAAAATAGTAATATTTAAAATTTTATTTTTATACTTATTATTGTATATATTTGAATTAGGTGGTGATTCAGGAAGAGTTGTTATATGGAATATGGAACCGGTAGTCAATGAGACTGCTGAATTAGACTCTAATGTTCCAAAGATGCTGTGCCAATTAGACAATCATCTTGGTAATTTAATTGATTAATTTTGTTTATGTTATTAACTTATTGATATAAAATATATATATATTTTTTAACTTTTATTTAGCATGCGTGAATTGCGTACGATGGAGCAATAGTGGATTGTTGGCATCAGGTGGTGTAGATAAGCTTATTATGATTTGGAGATTATCTGGATCGGGAGGAAGCTCTATTTTTGGTGGAAAAGCCAGTGTCGAAACTTGGAGATGTATTGCAACGTTACGCTCACACGAAGCTGATGTACTTGATCTTGCGTGGGCACCACATAGTCCATGGTTGGCTTCTGCCTCGGTGGATAACAGTGTTATAGTATGGGATGCATCCAAGTTTCCTGCAGTAGTTGCAGTATTAAAAGGTCATACAGGTTTTGTAAAAGGAATTACTTGGGATCCTGTGGGGAAATATTTAGCATCTCAGTCTGATGACAAAACATTGAGGGTATGGCATACTACGGATTGGACGGAAGCAGCTTTAATATCTGAGCCGTTCGACGAATGTGGTGGCACAACTCATGTTCTAAGACTTTCCTGGAGTCCAGATGGTCAGTATTTAGTATCTGCCCATGCTATGAATGGAGGAGGACCTACAGCTCAAATAATTGAAAGAGATGGATGGACACAGGATAAAGATTTTGTTGGGCATAGGAAGGCTGTAACTTGTGTTGTAAGCATTGGACATATTTCTTTTTTCTTTTTTTTTTCTAATACTAAGAAGACTTTTAATCGAAATTACTATATTGAACACTTGTACAATATTTTAGAGATTTAATGGCAATATTCTACAGAAGAAACAACCAGGTTCTTCTAAGCCACAACAGTATTGTTGTGTTGCAATAGGATCACGAGATCGTTCTCTATCTGTGTGGTTAACATCCTTAAAAAGACCTTTGGTCGTAATACACGAATTGTTTACACATTCTGTATTAGATGCTAGTTGGTCACCATGTGGTCTTCGTCTTGCCGCATGTTCTTGGGATGGAACAGCTGTATTTATTGAATTTACTCAACAGGAATTAGGGCAGCCTCTTGATCCTGCTGAACAAGTAATTATATATATATTTGCATGATGTAACACACATACACATATATGTATGTATTTGTGCATGCGCGCGCGCGCGCGTGTGTGTACGCTACATGTGCAACTTATTGCCTTCGTATATCTTATAAAATCAATTATTTTTTACTTACAGAGTAGTCTACATGAACGATTGTATGGTAAACCGTTGGTTCAAGGAGGTTGTATGGTAATGGAAGCACCAGAACTTCTCAATTTGAAACAACCGGCATCGAATCAATCTTTTCAAGTATCATCCGCTCCTAGCATTCCCCCTGTCACTAACACTGTGACTACTCCAGTTAAGGGACCTATTAATAAACAAATTGAAACGAGGACTTCAGATGGGAAAAGAAGAATTACTCCTATGTTTATTCCACCGCCAGCAGATACAACGTAAGTTAAAATATATAAATTTTATTTCTATTTATATATTTATGTCTGGATTTGATATTGAAATATCTTAACGTAACGTTTTTTTTTAATCAATTTTCAGGGATACAAATATCAGTGGTAGTTTAGGCACACCGACGTTTACCAGTAAAGTACAAACGAAAAGTTCGATTGTGATAGAAAAACGTAACGATGTTGTTGCACCCAATGTTACTTCGTCGTCCAAATCAGTTGCTGCCAACGCCCCAGAATCCTCCCTTACATTGAAACGCAAGGAACAAACAACACCAAAGATACACCATTCGTCGCCGAATAAAAAGCCTAAATTCGTATCTGATAGGAGCGTAGGTCAGATGTTACTGCCTCCATTGAAACCGTCCAGCTCATTGTCCCAACAGGCGGGTCATTACGCTGTGACTGTCACTAACAGTCATGGCTTGGCTCATTTGCAAGTATTTAAAGGCACAGATTCTGAACCGACATGGGATCTCTATTTAGGCTATATGGCCGTGGCATTAGCGGCATCACCGGCTGTGATAGCCTTGGGTTTGGAAGATGGGAGTCTTCACACATTTCATCCTGCAAAAGGATGTCGATCAGCACCACCATTAGCGCCACCAGCACCTTTGGCAAAAGTTCACGCTGTTGGAAACGCGGTAATTTGTCATCGATTTGATGCATCATATGTGTTTATGTTTATTTATAATTATAAAAAAATGTAATAGGTGATGGTAATATCGAGTTGTGGTGCGCTTCGCGTATGGGAAATAGGAAATACATGCAGAATGATCGTTTCAACTTCAGCTGCTCATTTAGCAGCGCCTGGAGCGTCCCTGTTGTCATGCACTTTATATAACGGAATGCCTCATGTAGCATTTACTAATGCACGAGCGTATATGTATCATAAGGATATGGGTATAGCAAAATCTTATCATTTTTCATTTTTCATTTATATATGATTATATAACGATTATATACATACATTGTATACAGGGACATGGCTGTTAATTGGAGACAGT